ATGCTATTTTAGGCATCCTAAGTGTGTACTTTCCCATAATAGACCGCCTACGGCGGAAAATTATTGCTCAGTCTAGCTTATACCGAGGTAAGCGTATCTCCAGATCTTTACCCTCCTGTCACCATCGGTGCTTTATGTCAGACGGCCCGGTTCCTATCGTGTCCCAAGACGACCGCCAGGCCATCAGGAACCGCCTACTTAAACTAGGCCTCTTCGCTGGGTCGAGCTCACTTTCCTTACCGGGCCTCAAAGTCTATTACCGCTCAACCAGGCGGCCCAACAATTGCCCCTTAGGCGGGAAAACCTCTAGATTTTGGCCCTAGCCATTCCATCTCTTGCCCCTAGCCGCTCGGGAGGCAGAGACTTCCTGTCTAAGGGGTGTCTTGTCATTTGTCAATCATTTCCTTCCGCTATACTATCTCTTGCCTTTTACTCAACCGCATGCAGTGGACTGCATGCGCACACCGTTTGTTTGATGAACCCGCACCCTCAACGTGGCGTACTTTGGTTTCCGAGCTCTGACATCGGTCAATGGACCCGTCCTTTCGGTTGCCCGAGTTTTTTAATTTACAGACCTAGGGTTTCTTTTTGGTCACCCAACCGCCACGCCAATCGCTGCCCCCTCCTCCTAATTAAACACAACCATCGTCTTCTTTCTTCACTTTCGCATCCGCCATTTTCGCCAAGTTTTGCGCCATCTCGCCACCATTGCTCGCTGCTCTCGATTTTCTATGTCCCTCTATCTACATAGCCATCCCTATCTTCCATCAAAGCGGGCTGATTATCTTGCTAGCTTGCGACGATCCCAGAAACGGGCGAAGAAGAAGAAAAAGTGGAATTCACAAATGACTATCGACTCTCTAATAACATATGGTTATGCTTTATTCATTAACAAGATAATTGTTTTCATGTAATGTTATGTTATTTGGTTAATCTGATTATCCGATTAACCAAATCAATTAAACTTTGGTTTGGTTAATTCGATTTTCGTGTTAATTTGGACGGTTTGGTTATGACATTTTATTCCATGGTTAATAAAATTTAGACTTAATTGATTTGGTTATTACCACGGTAACCATTTGAACACCCCTACCGACAGAGGTGCTAGTGTGTCGCACTCGTCTTTGAAAACTAGTGGTGCCTCCAGAGGTCCCCCAGTTGGGGCGAAGCTAGCCGCACAAAGTATGATTGATCTATCCTCTCCCTTAGCCATATCTGACATAGAGTGGGATTTAGAAATTGTTAATCTAGTGAGCGGTTACGAGAATACTGGTGAACTTAGGGTGAATTTAGACCATCCTGATTTTAGCCTTTTAGGGTTAGATGGAAATGCTTTGGAAGACACGGGCGTCTCTTTAGCTTTGCGGGGTGCCACCTCCGTGGTTGGCGATAATCTGTGTGACTTCCTGTTTTCTGAGTTAGAAAGTGAGTTTGATCGGGGTGCTCATGTGGTTACTCTGTCCTCAGATAGCACCAGCAGAGCGCACAGTGGATCTGAAGACTCTAGCAATGGCTCTGCTAATTCTCCCTCGCTGACCATCTCTGGGGCCCCGCCTATGGCGCCCTTTCAAGCAGTTGCGGACGATATGTACCGTGTGCGTCTGCACAAAGATATGTGGTAGGAGAGGAGATTCTCGAGTCTATATACCAATAGGGACCTCCTAACGTCGCTTATAGTCCCTCCCAGGTTCTGCGTCAGCTAAGGAACCATGGACTTCCGCCTGAGTGGGAGTATGCGGCTCTCTCTCCTATCGGGCGCTCTAGCTTCTGCCCCGGCTGGAGGATTGCGGTTCATATTGAACATATTCGGATGGAACTTCGATTCCCGCTGGATCTGATTCTGACTAACACTCTGCTATTCCTTAACTTTTTAATAGGCTGCCTCTCTCCTAGAATAATATTTCATTTCATTGCCTTCCGAGCGGCATGCGAGAAGCTGAATAAGACGCCTTCCTTCGATGCGTTTTGCCTCCTTTATGCTATGCGCGTGTCGAACAATTTTTGTCTTGTTACAAACGTGAGGCCCATGTAGGCTTTGTCTATGGGGCGTCAAAGTTGGATTCACCCTAGTTCACAGAATATTTCTTTACCCACCCGGCGGGAAAGTGGTATTCCATTGAGGTGGAACCGCCGACGGGCTTTGCGTTCGGCACCAAGATGGATTGGAATTCTGATCTTGACTTGCTTCGCGTTCGGCACAAAGGTCTTCTTGGTCGGATAATGTTAGTTTTCCAATTTCGTCTTCCTCCGAATGGGACCATAATGGCTGGAAATAGTTCGGTGCTTTCACGGTTAATTAGTTTCCATTTCAACTAACTTATTTTAAGTGTTTCGTGCCTTTACTTATGGGTTTCTTTTGTAGGTGTCCGCCGATATGCATCGACCGCAAGGCCGCCTAAACCAACCTCTGGTGCGCCCGTTGTTGCGACCGCTACTCCTTCTGGTAGCCAGCCGGAGAGGCAGACTACCGTTCTTCCAGCGACTATCGAGACTCAACTTGTGGTAAGCCGCTCAGGAGTGGTGAAGGTGGCGGAGTCCGGTTTGAGTCGAGGCTCTGGGAAGCGATCCTTGGGATGATTTGGTAGCGAAGGATGGGGAGACCGCGGGAGATCAGTCAAGATCGACAATGAAGCACGTCCTCATTGATACTACCCACAAGAAAAAACAGAAGAGGACCGATCTTTCAACAATCGCTATCTTTTCTCCGTATGCCACCTTGTACCTGGAGCTGGCTAAGCGTGCCCTGCATACCATCATCGAGCAGTTTTCTCTTTCCAGAGAATACACCCGAGTCACCGGGACCCCTGTCCTTACATTTGATACCCAGCATCTGGCTAGTGCCACCTCACGGTGCATGTTTGCTGTAAGTATATTTTTCTATTTGTTTACATGAGTTGCTAGCTAGTGCCCTCGCTCAGCGTCTGATTTTTGGAAATTTTTCTCAAGTATTCGCTCGAGGGCGATTTGCTTACTCGAGCTATGCCTTGATTTATCACCCGAGGCGGTCTCAAACTGGGGCTATTCGCGTGGCGAACAATTCTTTGTATATCACCCGGAGGCGGTTTTAAACTGTGGTTATTTGAATAGCGAATAACTTATAGCTTATCGCTCGAGGACGGTTTTAAATAGTGGTTATTCGAGTGGCGAATAACTTATAGCTTATCGCTCGGAGGCGGATTTGACTTCTTTGAATTGTGCATTAGTTTGTCACCTGGAGGCGATTTTAAACTGTGATTACCCGAATGGAGAATAACTTATAGCTTATCGCTCCGGAGAGGTTCGAACTTGCCCAAGTTTTTCGATTAAACACGTCGCTCTGAGTTAGGAGAGCGGATCTGGTGACTAAGGGGGGGTGCTTAGTCACTTGACTAAGCCCCTCCCAGCCCTTAGATCTGGACACTTCAATCTAATGGTTAAAAAGTGAGAAGGGCTATTTAATTAATGACAGGGGTAGTTTGGGTATTATGGAAAATATACGAAGTATACAAACTGGATTTACAATCAGTACAAACCATACAAACATACGAACAGTACAAACTAGAGCGACAAAACATACAAACATTACAAACGTATGAACTGTACAAACAATACAAACTAGACTAACAAACAATACAAACCATACAAACATACGAACAGTACAAACTAGAGCGACAAAACATACAAACATTACAAACGTATGAACTGTACAAACAATACAAACTAGACTGACAAACAATACAAACCATACAAAAAGAAAAAACACCCGGGTTGACTTTGGAGGCTCCATCCCTATATAGAGGGGCTCCTTCCCAAAGTCAACCCGGGTGTTTTTTAGACATACAAACAGTACGAACATGGTGGACAAAAATGACAAACTAGACCGACAATCCATACGAATGGGAAAAAACACCCGGGTTGACTTTGGAGGCTCCATCCCTATATAGAGGGGCTCCTTCCAAAAGTCAACCCGGGTGTTTTTTAGACATAAAAAACATTACAAACATGGTTAACAAACCATACAAACATACGAACAGTACAAACTAGAGCGACAAAACATACAAACAGATTTACAAACATTACAAACGTATGAACTGTACAAATAATACAAACTAGACCGACAAACAATACAAACCATACAAAAAGAAAAAACAACCGGGTTGACTTTCGAGGCTCCATCCCTATATAGAGGGGCTCCTTCCCAAAGTCAACCCAGATGTTTTTTAGACATACAAACAGTACGAACATGGTGGACAAAAATGACAAACTAGACCGACATTCCATACGAACGGGAAAAAACACCCGGGTTGACTTTGGAGGCTCCATCCCTATATAGAGGGGCTCCTTCCCAAAGTCAACCCGGGTGTTTTTTAAACATAAAAAACATTACGAACATGGTGCACAAAAATGACAAAGTTTACAAACATTACAAAAAAAACGACAAACATTACAAAATAACAAAGCATACAAACATTACAAAATATGTCAACAAACATCACAAAATTAGCATTGTCGCAGGGAAATTTTTCTCCGGCGACGATGTTCGTCGGAAAAAATTTTCCGATCAGAAAATTGTCCGACCAAAAAAATTCTCTCTTCGACCAAAAACTCTCTCTCTCTCTCTCTCTCTCTCTCTCTCTCTCTCTCTCTCCCTCTCTCTCTCTCTCTCTCTCTCTCCCTCCCTCTCTCTCTCTCTCTCTCTCTCTCTCTCTCTCTCTCTCTCTCTCTCTCTCTCTCTCTCTCTCTCTCTCTCTCTCTCTCTCTCTCTCTCTCTCTCTCTCTCTCTCTCTCTCTCTCTCTCTCTCTCTCTCTCTCTCTCTGGGGAATGGAATAATGGACCGTGGGGAATAAAAATGGCGCCCAGGGGAATGGAAATGGCGCCCATTCTTTCTTGGAAAATCTCCGGCGGCGGCGCACCGAGAGGGGTGGCGACGCAAAAAATCTCCGACGGCAGCGCACCGGGAGGGAGGGCTCGCAGACTTTTTTTTAATTAAAAATTAAAAATAAATACGAAATTACTACATTACCCTTCATTAAATTAGACTAATAGGAGCCCTTGGATTTTAATAAGGTTGAGTGGCTGAGATTCACTTAGGCATATAACTAAGGGGACCCCCTTAGTCACCTGATCTCAGCCCCTGAGTTAGTTTGTTATTTCGTGTACTTCCAAACAAAGAATACAAACCTGGAAAAGGTGCAGAAGTAGAACTACAAAGACAGTATAAAATTATTTTCTTCCTTTTCCCGGAAGAATTACCCACTAAAAGTCTATACCTACTTCCAGAATCATCTAGCTTCGCCATCTACGGAATCCCGTCCTGAAACTTCCGGTATCGCCGCGACGTCGGCGGCATTGACCCCAGAAACCAGCACAACAACAGCTTCCTCTAACTCCCGTCGTTCCTCTTCATCCTTATTTCTCAATTCAATCACAACCGACTCCAAATCCTCCTGGCACTCTGAATCCAGAGAATCGAAGGACGGCAAGGTCTCGAGAGTGATCTCCGAGCTCCGGATCGAATCGTCCTCGAGTGGCGACATCGACTTCAAAATCACCCTCTTTTTCTTCAGATTCTTCCTGGCTCTCCTCCGCCACCTCCGCAGGCCGATCACCACCGCAGCCGGGAAAACGCTCTTCCGCATCGACGTCCCCATCTGGGTTACCAGCGCGTAGAGCGGCAGGGTCACGTAGCCGCCCAGGAAGTGTACCAGCACCCCAATCAAAACCCTGATCGATATGTTCTCTGTTTCTCTGTGGAAGCACGATCGAGGCCCGAACTTTTTCTGCAAACCGATTTCGAGCGTTTCCCAAAAGGTATCCTCGTTAATTTTCGCACAGCTCAATTGAATTTTGGGTTCGTTGTTTAGGTAAAGTATAGTATGTCGGGGTTTACGAGATGGGTGTTTAGGGGTTTACCGTTGTCCAGGTGAAGAACGCCAACTGAAACGAGTTCTGCATCAATAATGGAAGTTACCATGATTGAATAAATCATTCAGTCAGGAACTTTCAGATTAAGGGTTCGTTTGGATCAAATTTACCTGGAAGAGTATGAAATGTATAAGGTGGAGAAGGAATTTGGGCGATCCGAACCAGAAGAAGCGATCGCTAGGTCTAACGAGCACGGTTCCTCTAACGACTTGGGATTTCCCCTGGCTATCTATGCACAATGACGTGATGATGTCTTGAAGTTTGGTACCAACCACCAGTAACATCTGCAGATATAGAATATAAGATGGCACAAGATGGTTCAACAGAGAACCCTCCTTGAAGACATTGTCCTGGCTTCTTCCACAATAGGATTTTACATGTTACTTACCACCAGTGGGATGAATGGCAGCCACAGGAAACTGTGGAAGTCTGCAGAATGTCGAACACAGCCAATCAGAAGTTTTCATTTCGTGTCTTGTACAGTTTGTTTAAGCATTGTGGTTGATGGATCTTATTATTACCGTGTGCATTGAAGAATATGGATAGCACAGAGAAGGTCAGAATCCATAGCCTGCAAAAGGAAATGGGCTTCAATCAGACAATCATCACTTCCCTTAAGAGTTTTGTGATGATGGGCCACTGGATCGAGGGCAGCGAGAGGCCCATCACCATGCAGGAGAAGAGAAGACTACCTCTTGCCGACCACAACACGGAAGTCGGATTCAAGAGCTCTTTTGATGAACTTCTGGAAATGGAAATCGATCTCTTGTTCAAAATGGGCCTGGAGTGGGTCATAAACTTGTTCGCGTCAGGGAAAATTCTATGCAAGTGTTCGTAAGCTTTCTTCAAAGGTGATCAGTAATAGTCAATAGTACCATGATAAATCCATGTCGGAGTGTGAGATAATCCACTTTGGTGACCGACCCAACAAACTGCCTCAAAACGCATGTCTGCAAACCCAAGGGTGGATCATGATTCAAAGTGGATATGAGCTCTTTGGGGCTTATTATGAATTCTCTTGTGAAAAAGATTTACTAACCGGCCAACGAAGAAACGGGTGTTCACTCCAAAAGCTCAGATGCCTCCTCCCAAACGAAGTTTGATGAGCCAGTTGGAAACTTCTTGGTTCTTAACGAAGACAGGAATTAGTTAGAAACATTCTTTGCACTTGATAGACCGTGATTTATCTCTTCGTATCATCACTCATGATCAGATTACTCATGAGTAGGGTTGCAAATGAGTCGAGTCAAGTGGAGTTGAATTTTGATCTAACTTGAATTCGGTTCGTTAAGACGTTAACAAATGAATCGAGCTCGAGCTCGGTTTGTTTATGAAAGGTTGCTTACCCTTTGAAGGAAGGTAGTGGAGAGTTTTGGTCTCTGCCTCCCACGACTCCCACTTGCTCATCTGCCAAAATTACGGTCCATCCATCCACATGAGGAAAAACATTCAACAATATTGACAGAGACTCCAATTCTGTTCCATTTTGATTGATGTCGCTTTCCAACCCACCAGATAATGCACTTGTCAAAATCACAGCGGTAATCACTAAAAAAGTTGAGTCTTTGATTATTCTGATCACCTTGGCCATCCCTAAGCTGAAGATGAGAATGGACGACGTGGCATGAAATGAAGCCAGCACGAACATCAAGTAATTGAGTTGCTGCACACCTTGCCTCGACAGCAATGACACTTTCCCCTGTTTCCAGTCCACACATTCATTACATGGTTATGAAGTTTTCAAGAGATTGTCTGACGTGGAGAAAACTATTCTAAATGGTTATATGTAAATTGCAGACCTGATTCGCACATATGAGTTCCTCGTCCTCCACCGAGCTAGAACCCGTTGGGAAGCCACAAGGAAGAAAAGTTTGGCTGAGCTTATGGGGAATGCAGATGCTTGCAATCCACCGCTCGCTTACCGCCAGAAACAACGAGCTCAAACCCAGCAGCATCATTTCTGCCACCACCATCAACCCATATAAACTAACTGCTTCAGCTACTAACTACCTACGCTACGCTACGCTCTAAGAATTTGAGTTCTTACCGGATTTGATCTTGCCCAATGACCGAAGCAGTGCCCTGCTCCTTTTCTTGGTGAGGTTCTGTTGCAATTGCGATATGTGCAATTTTAGTCAGAAATACAATGGGTTCATAGCCAGAAAGGTGAAAGAGGTAGTAGTAGACTAGGAAGGGTACCTTGGAGATGAGATGGATGAGATGCTCAAAAGCAATGGAAATGAGGATGATGAAGAAGCAAACTGTGGCCACGGCCCAAGTTGGTGTCCCTTCCACTGATCTTTCCCCACCATCGCCCATTCTGTCTTCTCTGCTTTCTCTCCTGAAATGGGAAGCAGAGTAAGTGTAGTAATTGATTTGCCTTTCAGCTTCGAGTTAATTCGGTGGCGCTTTCTTCCCTTTTGTATCAGTTCATGATTTCCTTTTATTATGGCAAGTCAAGTATTGAGAAGCAAAAAAGAGAAAAGAGGGTAAAAGAAAGCAATATTGGAGTCAAAACCCACTCGGTCCTGCCAATTTTGTTTCCAGTACAAAAAACGAAATGAGATAATCACATAGTTTTGCTGTCGTTTTGCAGTGTCCCGCTTCCAATAAAAAATGATTCCAATTACAAAAAGGGAAAATATGATTCAAAACTTATTATCCACTATAGTATGAGTTTTGTGTTATGAGACCATTTCCAATCCAAGGAAAAAAATGGAAAAGTGCTACAAAAATAGTGCTTCAATGGCAAGGCCAAAGTGCCAAATTTTGAAAGTTTTTGGACCATATTTGACACACAAGAAGACAAGAAGGCAAACGCTTGTTTGTTGGGATCTAAATTCATATTTTTGGCCGAATTTAATTTCTGATTAAGCATGCGATGCAGGTCTATCTACATGAGATACATGTGTTGTGTAATTTTCTTTAGCGTGTTATGTTACATTTCGTGCCTTGTATGAATAACAGGGTTGCTCATATCGTGGCAAAACAAGCTTATATCGTGAATTGATTATCGATCAAAGTTTTTTATTTTGCTTTGTCATATCGCATGTCCTGCGAAGACCTTGTATATTTTGTATTTAGTTGTTTTCCTTCGAGTTATTTTTGGCCAAATAAAAAAACTATTAAATAATTTATTTATTTCAGAAAGTAAAAAATAATATTTACGTTTATACATATAAATAATATGAGAAGTGTTAAACAAAATAATGAATGATTTTATAATAATGCGAAAACGTTAGTTTAGAACACATTCGGTGCATATGTAAAACAGATTCTCTTACTTACTGAGCTCTCTGGAGAATGCCATACCAACTAAATTATGGGAATGGATTGGAAGGTTTGCTGCTGTTTTGGTTTTATTTCCACAAAACCATTATTTTAATCACAGATTAGTCCATCCGAATTCCTTCCGTCCTTTGTTTTCCCCGCACCGTGGGTTCATATAAATCATATAGCCGTCGCCTACTAGCCTTGCCTAATATTCCCATATTTTTCCGATTCAACGCACATAAAATAGGCACAAGATATAGTACATATTCAGTAACTATGGGACCTTTTATTCAGAAAATTCAAATATAAGGGTGAAGAATTAAATGTCTTTTTATTTTTCTTTTATTTTCTTAATCGATTCTTTTTTTCGTTTTAACTCGGATTTTAAAAAAAAAATTTGCACAGATGGAACGAGTTCATTGTGCTCTACAAAATGATATCCATTTTTCAATATTTTCTTAGAAAAAAAAATTCAAGCATTTCGGTACCCACTGCATAGCATATGCTATCTTCTTCGTTTTTAATTCGTTTTTGAAAATTTTTGCACAGAAGGAACGAGTTCATCATGATCCATTGGATCTACAAATTTCCGGGTGAACAACAGGACCAAAAAATACCACACAATACCACCCTGGTACGGGGTGGTATCTTGTGGTACACAATGTTAAAAGTCGTAAATGACAGTTAATATACTTCTACTATCATGTATTCAACCATCATACAGTCTTGGTTTGTTCATACCACCATGATACACTTTTTATACCATATGTATGCTCTTATTTCAATACCAGTCAATACCATATGATATAGACTAGTAAAAATGGCTCAATTTTTTTTGTTCCAAAAATATATCAAAGTGGATATCATTTTGAAAAGCAAAATTAATCTGATCTAATTGTGTGAAAAAATTTAAATTTTGACTTAAAATTAGTGAGAAATCGTCTGTTAAATATTAGGGGGGAATTAAAGGCTTTTCGGGAGAGAGAAAGGACTCTGATGTGGCGGATTCTGATTGGATTATGCATAATTATTGACCATAAGGTTATTGACCATAAGGTTATTGACTGGATCCGCTCTCCATAAAATAGGGATGGTGGTGTGTTTGGTTTGTTTGTATTTCTTTTATGGTGGATTTTTACTTTTTTATATTTATTTATTCTTTTAATGGTATCGATGTTTTACTTTTGGGAGGAGAATAGTTATAATTAGTGTGACAAGGAGCACCAATAATGTCAAATAATAAGAGTTGTGACTTCATTAACGGTTGGAAGATCACATTCCCAATCATCTAATCTTTGATTGTCCAAAAGTTTTCAACTTTAAAAGTTTTACATGGTCTTTAATTATTTTTTTCTTTGTGCATCAAAATGTTTAGGCCAAATATTATAAGCGTCTAATATTTCCTTCAACTTGGTGACAACAATTTCGCGTACATAATTCAAATTATCATATGTCATGATCGAATGATATACATTTTCAACCTAGTTCTCAATTTGTTACTTAGGATTTGAATTTCTCAATTCATTCAATTGTCTAATTGATGGTAAATTTATCCACTAATTAAACATACATATAACATGTGCTCATCATTCAAACTGTGGTCGATCTTACTATTCATAGGATTAAACTCAAAGATATCATTTCATATCTTAATACACTCTCGAGTAGGGATGGCAGAATTACCCATGCCCATTGGGTTTTAAGTATCCAACCCATGTGAGTCAGGTCTGAAATCCAAGTCAACTTTAAATGGGTAAAATCTAATGGGTCAACACCCATACCCATAATGTTGGGTCCAGTTGGATTTTATCCATGGATTTGGGTTAAAAACCCAAACCCAAATAATTAAACGAAAAGGAAAAAAACATCGCCCACCACTTCATCTCCCTCTGGAACTCGATACGCTAGCTTTCTCTTCTCAGATCGATCGGATTCCGGGGAGCAAGAGGGTCAGGTCACTTTGCCCCGTGGTCGGCTTCCTCAACACCGTCGACGGCTTCGCAACTCGCTAGCTCCTCCTATCCCTCTCGATCACGAGACCAAGTGTTTTCTCTTCTTCGATCGGTCAGAATCCAGAGAGCAAGAGGGTCTGGTTTCTTTTTCTCGTCGCACACCCCCTCAACACCGCCGACGGTTTCGCGAAACCTGCTCTTTCTCTCCCTTTCGATCTCGAGACCGCGAGAAGCCCACTCCTCCAGGCTCCAGGTATTATTCATCTTACCCTAAGTTTTTGAACTGGGTCTTTTGAGAGCTCTGTTAGTTCATTCAGGGGATTTGATCAAGGGATAGGGTTTTTGAGCGGGTCTTAGTAGTGAATTGGGTCTAAACTGTGATTGAATTTTAGTTTGAATGAAAGTTTAATGTCAATGGAAATTTTGATTGGAAACGTTTGCTGCTTGCTTGGTTACTAAACGTGTCCAATGTTTGCTGCTTGCTTGTTTGTCGTGATATTAATGTATATGGTCCTTTGCTGCTGTAATTCTAGTTCTGGTGGGTCTTTTCTGTGTTGCATGTGCTAGTTGTTGTGTAGAAGGCATCAGCTTATTAATGTATATGGTTCTTTGCTGCTGTAATTCTATTTCTGGTGGGTCTTTTCTGTGTTGCATGTGCTAGTTTGTTACATTAAATACTTCTAGGAGAAAGATCATAAAAGGGGATTCATCTTCTAGGAGGCGAAGGCAGCAACTTATTAGTTTATTACATTACATACTTGCAGCTTGCCTAGCGTATATGCATTCGTTAAGTTGCATAAGGAGAGAATTGGGCAGTTCAGTGTTGCAAAAGGGAATTTTTTTTTGCTGGGAATAAAGTGTGCAAAGAAGGCATTGTGAGAATATAGGTCAGAATAGGAAAAGAGTGTTATATGATATATGGAGGCTCTGATTGATGTGTGTTATGATCAGTAGGTTTCCATTTTTGTAAGTGGAGGGGAGAGCTGCAAAGTTTAAGTTATTAGTGTAGCAGTAGTGTGTAGTTGCATAAGGAGAGAATTGTAGTTGCTTTGTTCAAGCTTGTTTACTCTCATTTTCATATGCATTGGTCTCCATTTACAAACCGTGATGAGCTGTTAGAATTTCAAGCCTAGATTAGTAATTGTTATATCATTATATTTTGCAGGTGTTGGTCGTTCAACTCAAACCATCTTCTGTGATAATGATCATGGTGGTGATGAACAAGTGATGAAATGTATTTAGGAGAACCCTTGCAATGGCGGTCGCCCACTGAGTTGGAGAATAACCAAGATTTGTGGGTAGCTCTCATTTTCCTTCAAAACAACTCATTGATTTGATTTCACACTACGATCGTCAACCTTAGGTCACAGATCGTGACCGCCCGAAGGATGACAACGACGATTCTGACTCTGCCTCCGACCTCATCAACACCGAGGAAGGCTGTCGGAGCCCCGATGCTCCGCCGCCGAGTTACAACCCCACCACCCAGCAGCTCTTCACGGAGAGCAAGGGGCCGGAGCTCATCCCATCGGCGGCGGCGCCTGATCAGTGGCTGAAGTTGTCGGAAGTGGAGTCCCCGACGCCGCCGAAGCAAGTCGAGCAACGGAGGAAGAGTAGGCGCAGATCCAGTTCCAGAAAGCAGGAGATAGCTATAGCGCAATTTTACATTTTAGTACCTGATATTTATAAAGAGATACAAACAGGTCCAACATCATGTGCAGAAAATTTTATTTTAATACCTTAAAAATTTTGTTTTGCATTTTTCGTACCTGATAAATAAAACATTTACTAGCATGTCCAAAGAGATGGGTACCCAAGCTCAATCCATACCCATTTTCAAATTGAAAATAAAATCCAAACCCAACTCCACCTACCCAAACACTATCCAAATCCATATAGGATAAATTCATACCCAACCCATATAGATGGGTATAATTGGATTTGGGCAAAAATACCCATGGATGGATAAATTGCCATCCCTACTCTCGAGAATGCGTTGTAACCTTGTGACGTGTAGATGGGCTAGGATTGGCCAATTTCTCTCTTTCTTTTTCTCCCTCTAGGTAAGCTATATATATATAGAGTTATTCTTCTTTCTTGTACAATCACAAAAACCCTTATAAGATCTTATAGCTTTGATAGTGCCTACTCTCCTGTGGAGTGTGGACTAGTTCCAAATCTCGGGAATATCACTTATACCTGTT